AACGAGTTACAGTGGCGTGGTTCATATGTAGTGTGAAACCATATCCATGACATACAAATCAAGGTGGCTGGATTTATATATTGTGCAAAGCTAAAATTAAGCAAATTAGATTATAGCTGGGTTCAACACATCATGTTTTGGCTTACTGTAGCGTATTCATGGTTAGGCAAAACATAGCTAAACATGATAAATGAGCCTATCCATACTCTGTTGGAACATAGGAATCACACATTTGAGTGGATTCCCCCCATAGCACAGGTTTATTGTACATTTGATTACCATCTAGAAGGCATTAAAATCACAGGAGCCCTGCCAGAAAAAAATGAGGTAACTCCTGCATATTGTATGTAGATAGGAGCTCCTTATGCCATTCTTTCTCACCCTGTGAGAGTCAGTTTGGCGTCTTGGTTAAAGGCTCCAGGCTAGAAAGCAGGAGACCGGGGGTTCTAGCCCTGCCTTGGGCACGAAGCCGGCTGGGTGACTTTGGGCCAGTCTCTCTCTCTCAGCCCCGGGAGAACAGCAGTGGCAAACCATTTCTGAAAAATATTGCTAACAAAATTGCGTGGACTTGTCTAGGCAACTGCCAGGAGTCAAAACTGACTCAAAGGCACAAAGCAAAAACACCTCAATCTGTGCCCTCAAGATGTCCTGGGAACTATGTTGCAAACCTGTTCACATGTAATTTGAACTCTCTCTGTCTATCTCACTGAATTACATTTCTTGGTCAGAAAGAAAATAATGGTGAAATGAACAGATACAAGAGATTGCAAATAAAGCTTTACCTTGTACAGTTGGACAGTGGAGAAATGTAGGGATGCTGTGCCTTGGATTTTACCCTTTCTTCTTCCTTACAGGTATGTATTATCTACCCTCCTTAAAGCCGTTATGCCTTACCCAGATATCAGTACCAGCTTCACCAAGATAACACAGGAGTTAAAGGCTTAGAGAGGTACAATCTATATCTCTGTCTTCTCTACCTCTTCTATGCAGCAGGGTCAATGTTGGTAGTAGGACAGCCCAATAGGACTAGTCACAATAAGTTAATTGGTAGAGACTTACTACAAACAATGGTATGCACAAGTTATGAGACAAGCTGTCATGGTCACAAGTAGATTTTCACTGCAGTCTCCAAGGACTTATTGCTAAATTCCCACCGCATGTTCATTATGCTAGTCACCCAGAAGTCGTGAACTTCTGCATGGGACAGCTGTAATTCATGGCATCTTACTAGTTCTGTAAGTGTAATGGAAACAGCAGGGATATACCCATATGGCCTCACTTCTAGTACATGAGAGGTTTTAGGGATGTCAGCACTTACTTGGGGTTCAATTTGCAGGAGAATAGCTTTACTGTTATCAAGTTTATCTATATATATGTTTAGACTAGATTAACATTAACTTTAATATCATGCTGTATCAACTGACTGGATTTACATAACACAAAAAGCTAGGAATCCTAATTTATAAGACATAACGGCTGAGGCTGGAGTGAACAACATTATGTGGAGCAGAAGACTAAGAAATATTAAGCCAAGAAAATTAAAGATATAAGACAAAAAAAAAAAATGAAATCTAGATAAGCCTAGTCTCCACTGGTACCATTCAATATAGCTCTGCATACCTTTCTGACCTTGCAAATCATCCTTGCTTCCACCATGCCCATAAACTGATTCTTACATTTCCTTTTGTTCTTTAAACTTCTCACCTCTCTCTCTTGGAGGATTTCATCAACTTCATCTATGACAACTTTCTCATTCCTCTCTTTTTTCTCAACCATTTAGTGCTCCTTCATCTATTTGGGTTATAAGTCAGTCATTGTCTCCGCATATCTCAGTATACTTCTTGTGTTCAGGTCCCTCAGTTTTGTATTCAATCCGTATTCCTTCAATGTGCATTCAGTCTTGAGCCTACCTCTTCCTATTTTACCAGACACACTTAAATATTCCATTCCTCTGCATGCAGCATACTTTTGTGTTGGTCCTGACGTGCCCAGCTCTCACTTCCCTATAACAAAACTGGCAGAAATACACGCCTAAACACAACCATTTTCACTTAATTTAAGAAGCATTCCTTGTAACAGACTCAGTGCCCATTATCTTACTGCCAGCATTTGCATGTCTCCATTTCCCCACATTTAGTAAAAAAAACCTACCAAGGTGTATAATTTAATCTACTTGCTCTTATGTACAGTATCATATTCAGTATCTTGCTATCAAATTGGGCAGTACTGTACAAAATTAGGCTGTTTGGATTAATTTTTAAAGGGCGGGAGTGAGAAAGATTTTCTTCCTGGGGATCCCTTTCTCACCCCTCTCAAAACAGTGTTAAAAAGACAGCCTCTGGGACAGTGTTTCTCAACCTTGGCAACTTTAAGAGGTGTGGACTTCAACTCCTAGAATTCCCCAGCCGGAAGCATCCATGGGGTGTGTATGTGTGTTAACAGAGTCAAGATGGCAGGCACAACAGGGTCAATTAAAACCCTGCCCTGTTTTGCATACACAAGATGCACGCAACACATGTTAAAAAGAGCTAGGGCTTTTGACAGGTAGGACCCTGTCAAACCAATCTGCAGACATGCCTGGACACATGGTTTCCATAGGTAACACATGACACAGGGAGCTCTAGAGGCTGGCAGGCTAACAGTATAGGCTCAAGCTTGTCTACTTAGAAATAAGGCCTGTTGATTTCAATGGGGCCTATTTCCAATAGACCTGTATCTTGATTTGTGTGCCTTTAAAACAATTCAGCTTTTAGCATTTGACCTGTGTTTCTTTTACACATTTCTTGGATGTCACAGAAAAGACCTTATTCTGAGCTGATTCCAAGCAGGCCTCTTTCTGGGTGGCTCCTGTAGCAGGGCAAGGCTCCTTGTCTGCAGAATGTGGCTTCCAAATAACAACGTACAGGGAAGCTGTTCCTTCAAGGAGCAGGGGTCTGAGCCATTTAAAGAAGTATATTCGATAGCAAGGCTTGGACTTTGACATGGAAAGCAACTAGAAGTCAACACAACTTAGTCCAAACAGATGTTATGTGCTCTCACTGCCCCGCCCCCGCCAGGAATTGGCTACTGTGTTTTGGATTCACTGCAATCTCTGTACCCTCTTCAAGGCGTCCCCATGTAGATTCCACCACAACAAACTAATTGAGAGATAACCAGATGCCTGTAGCAGTTCAGCCCTCATCAGAGAAGAGCCAGTTTGTACATCATCTGTGGATAGTAACAAGCACTTCTAGCTGTGGTGCTGATCTGAATGCCCCATGTCAGCACGGGCTCTAAGCTCACCCCCGGATTGCAGATTTGAACCCTTAAGGGAAGCATACTGCCCCCGGGGATGAAAAAGACTTCCCCAACCACCAGTCCTTCAGATTTGTCTGGATTCAGTTTCAGTCTCTTAATCCAGACTATAACCTAGACAAGGCTACAATCTAGTCCAGGCAGGAAGCAATGTGGGAACTAAGCAGACGTGATGGAAGGATGGAAAAGGGTTGCTTGATAACATTGGTAACATTCAGCTTCATAATCACTGACAATTACTCCCAGTAGCCTCATAAAGATGCTAAACAGCATAGGGGACAGAATCAAACCCCACAGCACCCCACAGCCTAAAGATCACAAAGTGGAGCAAAAGTGCCCCAGAAGAACTGTATGGAACCTACCCTCCAGGTAAAGGTGCAAGCATGACAAATCTGCATCCTCAGCCCTCACAGGTGGCAAAATCCAGGTCAGTTTCTACGTGGGACACGTTTTGTTGATAAGGCAGTGAGATGACTCAGAGGGGATAGAAACAGTCTAGCACTTATGGGCCACTTCAGGAGGGTGCAAATATGTGCCCCCTCCCCCCAGGTTCTAAATAATCTCTCTTTTTCTCTCAGGTGGGAAGAGCTGGACACAGCAGAGGCCAGCTGCCAGCACCTGGAAGTTCCCCCACAGCCCCCCCCCCACTAATCAGCTGCATAGCCAGATTTCTCAAAAAATGTTCAGCAAACAGCTTGGGGAGCTGCACATTAAAGCAGGCAAGTTGCCAGGTTTGAGAGAGCCAACAGCTGTCTGGCAGGTTGAGGGAAAGGGGGTTGCCAAGGTTTTGAGAGAGTGGACTCGCCTGCCTTATTACTCAGCTCCTTGTTTCGAGGGGTGCATTCTCCTGTTTAATATGCCCAGTAAAGTGGGCCAGATGACTTGCCTGTCAAAACTGACCACCTCCCCAAGCCCTCTTCCTGTACCTACATCACTGTTCTAATTGGTGGCAGATGGTTGCCGGCTGGCTGGTGACACTCATAACGAGGTAGGACAGCAAACCAACAGCTTTGCTTGACACTGTCCTTCATATATAAAATCAGGACACCACCATTTGGTGGCAAGCCAAAACAGAGACAATGGGGACAGCAAATTTTATGCCAAATCAAGAACAGATTTACATTTTCACTCAGCAGCAGAAATAGGCAGGCCCTTGGAGTCTGCTGTGTGTTCTGGAGGGAAGCAGGGAGGGAGGGCTGATTTTCATAATTAGCTTGGAGCACTAAGATGTCTTGCTTCTTCTGGAGAACTATTATTACCAACTCCCCCACCCATTCTTCCACCTGTAGAACATCAGTGAAAAGCCTGAAAAATTACTGCTAGGAACACTGCTGTTAAACACCAGAGGGAGGACCCCACTAGAATCTTGATTGGAGTGGAGGATGTCGAACTGACACAAGCATATTTAATTGAGAGCAATTTCACAAGCCCGTCGTCCTTCTTCTCCTCAGTTGATAAGCGCCACATGAAGTGCCTTTTTATAAACACTGCTGGCTTGTCTGCCTGCTTGAGCATGATGCCCAGTCTGAATCCTGCGAAAAATCTATGCCAATTTCGAGTTCGACAGGCGCATGCTTTTGGCGCATTACGGGCGCTACCGCGTGAAGCTCTCCAGAGGGCCCAAAGGACTCAAACCTTCGGAGCAATACGGTCTTTTGCCCGAGTCTCGCTCCCTGCCGTAGGTGCAGATGGAGCCTGCTGCGGACGGACCCACTTCCTCGGCAGGGAGAGGCTGCTCCTGCTCTTCCGTGAGCTGAGCAGAACGGCCGGTTCCATCAGGGAGTTAGCCGGGGGGAAGGGGCTGGGAAACGGAGCTGCGGTGGAGAATAGGAGGCGGATCCAGGACGGGCCCGAGCCGGGACCTCCGAGGAGGACTGAGCCCGCGGGGCTCACAGCGCTGGGCTATGCGAGGTGGCTGAATCGGGGGCCTCGGGAGGCAGGTAAGGCGACCATTTGCACCTGGAATAGCCTAATTTGCAGGCTTCTAGAAACAATCGTAGCCTGCAAAGGCGACCGGGGTGAGGCAGCTTATTGCTCAAAGCGGAGGAACCGGGGACGACCGCAGGACCCTTTGCTCTGGAGGAGGGAAGTTGCAGCGGGTGAACGCGCCCACCGCAAGGGCAGGCTCCGGCCAGGACTTTGTGGGGCGGAAGGGGCTTGGAGGACGGTTGTTGCCTGCAGGGATGTGGGGCAAGCAGCCGATTTTCTCGTGCCTCTGCGCCTTCCTCCGCGAGAAAAGAGGGCGTTCCCCTTCTCGCTTCCTACCTCTAGCGCGTCTGTGTTTTGCAGCGGTAACGTAGCTGAGACGAGCCCAGGGCAGGCTCTTTTGTTCTGCGGGGAGGGTTGGGGCTCGAAGGGAGAGGGTTCTTTTCAGTCTGGGCTCTTTTTCTTCCATTGCATCCCCCACCCTCGACGACCCGATCGCTTTAACGTTGGCTGGCTGCTTAAAACGCTGTAGGTAAAAAGAGAGATCTGCTTTGCAGATCGGTTGCACTGGAGAGGCCAGCCGCCCAGCCTAGGCCGTCGAATAACATTCACGCCACGACTACCCGGGTGGAAGGGTCTTTCTGGCCTCGGGAGGAGAAGCAGCTGCCTTTGCTGCTTGGGTGCGGGCACGTAGGCAGCGGCAGAAAGCCATTGGCCATGCCTGCCACACTGGGGTATCCCTCCTCTATTGTGTTCCGCGCACCTCTGTAACAACAATTGCGAAACGGGGGCCTGCTTGTGTGGGGCGTGGCTTGGGCCGCCAGTGTGAAATGCCTGGTGTTATCCCACTGATTCTCGGTGCCTTAACGGTCCCTTTGTTAGAAAAACACATCTTGGGTGGGATCACGTGTATTTTTTTTTTTTTTTTTTTTTAAAAAGAGGGGCTTTTCAGCGAGTGAATGGGTTGGCCAGCTGAGCGGCCAGCGGATGCCAGCAAAGTTTTTGCCCATCAGTACCGTTTGCAGAGACTGAAGGATTTGGTAGGTGCTCAGGGTGTTCGAGTGACTTATGAAGTGTGTGCTTTGGGGAGTCCCTTTGGAATTTGAAAAACATTTGGCTTTTCCTGTCTCTTGCCTGGTACAGGAGATGGGATGAATGCTGACAGAACAAAGGCCTTGATGCTTTCTGTTAGGGCTGCTTTACAGAGATGTACCCTCCAAACAGGCTCAGTTGGGGACCCCACATTCCTCCTTGTGTCAAAAGGGGAGTAGAGCTGTATGATGGGATCTATGATTTGATCAGTTGAGTGGCACAGGATATAGATCCCTTGACATAGATTTATCTAATTTGTCAGTGGGGGCATATTTCTTATGGCATGAGGGCTGAAGGGCCAGCAATGCTAGCTGTGCACATCTCTTGGCTGCTAATGCAATGCTGACAGTCTCATTAACTGCCCTGTTTTCCCCATGTAGGCTCTACCAGAGTTCTCTTTTTAAGCAGCACATCTGCTCATTTCCCTGCAGAAACTGAGAAGAGCAAAATGGTAGAGAACAGCTGAGGTCAAAAGGCTTCACTAAATGGCCTGGCAATCTTTTTTTTTCCCTATCTCTTTTTGGAATGTCATTGCAAACTTTTTTTAATCTGTAAACAATACACATCAAAAACAGCAGCTGGAATCTACAGTATTCTGTGTTTGTTTTAAATGCTGTTCTCTGTAAAAGATAAAGTCAAGTATTTTTCAGTCACCATGGGGTTAGCTGTTTTCATGACAGTTTTATATATCATTACTGATTTTGGGGAAGGTTTTTTGTCTATGTCCCCTCACCCACCCACTATTATTCTGTATTTTGCTTAGCTCCACACCTTGGGTGTGCATTCTTTTTTAGTATGGCCTGCCTCGCATTTTGTATAAGGCATATACAGAAGTAGGGAGTATGGCATGAGTTTTGAGACAATACAAGATGAGTGACTATTTATGGATGAGGTAATATATTCTGTGCCTTGATGAATTAGATTAAAATTTGAAGATCTTTTGAATACGCATAAGCTTCATGATGATCTTCATTATTCAAAATTTTCCCAACTTTGGGCAGCATTTAGACCATGTCCCATTAATACAGCTACATCTATGAAATTTCTGGAAAATCTATTGCAGCATAAATGTGTATGTGTGTATATAATATAATCTAATTTAATATAATGTTATATCTTAACTAATATGAAAAAAAATCCTTATTAGGCTCACTGAAATTTAATTTCAAGTCAATGCATGTTATATAATTATATCTTTTCATCTGTGATGAAGTAATTGGAAACTGATAAAAGGCATTTAACTCCTAGGAATATCTTACTACAAACTAACAACCTCTTTAGATGTGATGCATGTTGTTTTGGCAACACTCATTTCCTTTTTGGGTTTTTCTCCTCAACTATGCCCATTCAGAATAAAAAGGGTTGACAACTGAAAAGCTGGTGGACCAGATACACCCGGTGGCTTCTAATTCAGAATAGTGGCCTACATGATTTTACTATAACAAAGTTAGGTGACTAGAGCAAAGAGAGTCAGTTTGGTGTAGTGTTTAATGTACAAGGTTAGAAACGGGGAAACCGTGAGTTCTAATCCTGCCTCAGGCACAAAGGCAGATGGGTGACTTTGGGCCAGTCGCTCTGTCTCAGCCCTAGGAAGCTGGCAGTGGCAAGCCACTTCTGAAAATCTTGCCAAGAAAACAGGACTAGTCCAGGTAGCTACCAGGAGTCAAGACTTACTCAAAGGTGCACACGTGCACACACACACCTAGAGTAAAACTTTGTAATGTATTTGACCTCAAAGAGTTGTAACTATGAACCAAATAAATAAGATGGGGAGGAGAGATGCATGCAAGCTGAAGATTACCTAGCAATCCAGGTGGGCTTTGCACCCATGCACACTCTTCCACATGCCGAATGAGAGCCTTCTTTTCACCACTCTGTTCTCAAAGGCTTTTCTCTGATGCTATCCTAAAGAATTAAAAAGACAGAGAAATGTTCCCACCCTGAGGCTGAATCCCCATTACCCATTCTCTTGCCCCATAGGTACTTCGTAGCTGCTTTTAAACTAAATAAGACATATATTTTTCCAGTTACCAATGAAATGGACTGTGAGCAAAGTGATGCTACTGTTCCTTGTGATGGAGCAGAAGTCATCAACCTGGTGCCCTCTAGCTGTGCTAGAATTGCTGCCTCCAAATTCCCAGCCAGCATGTCCAGTGGTTGCATTGGCTAGGATTTCCCGGAACTGCAATTTCAAAATAACTGGAGGGCATCAAGTTGGGTAATTTATTTTGATCATTTGCAGAACAAATGTTTGTTTGTATCCTGATATTCATCCAGTTTGACTTGTCTCAGCACAAATTGACTTGTAGCAATCAATTTAATACTTGCTATATGGACAGTAATGGGGAGATAGAACTGTTGAGGTCCTCGTTTGTATGAGTTTCATAGTACTTTTAACGCTTACGTTGTTGAATGGTTTTTGTCATCCTTTGTCCTCTTCCCTCCTGCTGGCTAAGTAAAGAATGAAAGCAGCTGCAACTCTCTTTGCCAGCTCTGCTCAGAGGGTGGATATTCAGATTTCTGATGTCTTTGTAGTACTGGGTCGGTAATTACAAAAACAATAAACTTTATTTTGTTACAGCAACTAAAATATGAATCATTTCAAGAGCCTATTTTTGAGCTTTTCTATATCATTTTTGGCTATTGCTTTCAGGATGACCTTTGTAAATGCAGAATATTTGGGTCTTCAGTACTGAAGCCATGGGTTTGGGCTTTTCGTTTGAGAAACAAGATGTTTTGTCTGGCTTACTGCATACAACCCAATGTCATAATGTGATTTGCTTGGTTTATGGCTTAGTGTTGTGTCGACTCAGCTAATGTGACTGATTCAGTAAATTGTGACAGTGTAAAGTGCAAACATGGCCTTTGTTTTTTTTCTTCATGTAGCTTTGATCATGGATTTAGTTCATAAGAATTTATTCTATAAACTGTCTAAGTGCTATGTGATTTATTTATTAATGTACATACATCTGAACGTTACTGCTTTAGTGTTACAGACAGGTGTTCTGTTCACACCCTTACACACTTCAAAGGACCTTTTCAGAATTGAATTCAAAGTGATGCATTGATCTATTGTGGAGCTATTAGTTTCAACCCAGTTGAAGGAAGTATATTGTACACAGCAATTTCTTTATCTTTTCTAAAATAAGGCCTAGCTAAGTAGGTATATGTTGTGGGCCAGGTGTGCAGAGAAAGTGCTTTAGGCAACTTCTCTTTTCCAGTTCCACTGGGAGAGGTAGTAAGGAAATTATAGAACCTAATATGAGACCTTTCAGGACAAATGGCAAATGAAACTGAGTTTAGAGTTTCATTAACTGTTTATGTTCTGATTTCATAAGAGAGATTTTGGAAACATCCTTCAGTGATTCATTTATCTTTCAGGCAAACAGCATATTATACTGCCTGGAGCTATAATAATCCTTTGCATAAAACTCTTTTTCTCAACACACAATGGGAATGAGCTTAATATCTGGTGGCTGTGGTGTTCCTTTAAAAAAAAAAAACAGCACCACTCAGTTCAAGGACAATACATGTAGTTTTCTGTACTCTGTATTTTAAAAGTGGTGTGTGCAAATGCACACTGTATTTTCCTAGGCATGTCTAGATGTTGGCTTTGAAGTGGTCTCTGGGTTCCCTGGTAGTTTGCAAGCATGTAGAAATAACAGTGATCTTTGTGCCTTTGTCTTCTGTATTACCTCTATGAACATCTAGTGGTGCAACAGATGTCCTTCCTCCTGGGGAGGGAGAGCTAATAAAAGTGAGGGGAGAAGTTTGGTGTTTGGTGTAAGATGGGCTGAAGGGCACTAGTAAGTATTGTTCCTCAATCTAGTCTCTTAGGTCTGTCTTAGATGGCAGCTCATTATCTCTAGGCAATGTGTTCTTGCCAACTGAAGATGAACTTGCAGTTCAACACAGGTGGAGG